GTTTGTAACAGAACGATGAAATTTCACGAGATTTTGAAAGTAAAATAGATCGATACCGCGTTTTTAAAAATCAATTTGATATCAGCATATGAAAAGATATTTGAGTATATTATTTTTCAAAGTGTCAGAAATGGATAACAAAACTGCTATTTTCAATGACTACTTATTTTTGTCCAGCTTTAACATCGGTATCGATATCGGTTATCGGCTACATGAGTTTTAAAATATCGGCATATCGGCCAAAATCCCAATATCGTGCATCCCTAGACAGAAGTTCAGCAGTTGTTGACGTTCTCCATCTATCAGTCCTTCATGGTTAGAAGATCAGAGGATCATAGTCGCTGGCCTGAATTTAGACGAGCTGCACATTAGAGATCATCAGAGCAGGAGATCAAAATCCTCTGATCTTATAAGTATAACTTTCATTACCATCCAACACCTTCCTTACTCTAAAGTGGAGGTCTTCAACAGGGGGTCTGTGAACCCTAGGGGTCCATGGAGGTACTGCATGGGGGTCACGAAAGTTTTGGTTGAATAGACTTTTTTTATATTCCCCCTGTCATTTTTTCCACTAATTGAAATGTCTTTAACCCTTTAAAGCCCGATCCAAGAAAAAAACAAAACAGAAAATAACTTTTTTTTGGTTTGAAGTCCTTATTTGGCCTTTTAACAAAATATGTAAAAAGAAAAAACAGAAATACATTTTTGATATTAATACTTTATTACTATGCGATTAGTCAAGATTATTTTTTGTGTAGTCTTCTGCCCTCTGTTATCAGGTATATCTGATTGTGTACAATAGGATTTTGAGCAAAGTTTTTACCATTAAATTATGCAAAAGGTGTCAGACGCAAAACATTTCAGAAACCGTATGTATCAAATATGATACATTTGGCATTAAAGGGTTAAATCCACATTAACATGAATTAAACAGACTGTAGTAAACAGATAAATGGAGGCAGAAGATGTCTTTCAGTCATCAATGCAAACATACAGCGTCACACAGGAGCTCTTTCAAGCTGGGCACCGTTTCATTCACAACACCTGTCCCATCAACCAGGAATCAGAAATACTTTAATAATCCCAGAAAGAAATTACTTTCATTACATTACTCCATCTGTAATAGAGTGACTATAGGACCAGTTTGATAGAACACTATTTCATAGATTATATATAATTAGGGGGTCCCCGCTCCATCGCCATTAGTTTGGAGGTCCTTGGCTTGGAAAATGTTGAAGACCCCTGATCTAAAGCATGGCGGAGGCACCGTTATGCTGCTGCACTGCAAATAAAATCTAAATCTAGATAAGTAATTTTTTTTCTTAAAGGAATAGTACACCCAAAACATGATTAGCCTTCATTTTTTACTCACCCCCATGCTGAACAACACTCTGGCGCCCGAGGCAGAAAGGTCCATAAAAGTCCACAAAAAACGTGTCAATATTCCTCCATACTGCTCGTCCAATGTATTCCAAGTGTCCTGAGTGGGTAGCGTCCATAATTTACTCGAAACGAAGTCATTTAGAATGTTTTTAGAGCATAAACAGTAGTGTATAGGATTTCCTAAAAGCGCGTTCACGACGCTACGGAAACCGCGGCAGACCAAACCAGATGAAAGTGCGCATTCAGCGTCTGCTCTTCCAATAATGCAAGCGTAGAAGAAGAAATGTGCTGTTTACCTGTGCAAAGAAAGAAACAGCGAAAGAAAAATGTCTGAGGACTTCAGTGTTGAGGAAGAGCATGAGTTCTTTACCGAGCTGAATGCGCACTTTCATCTGGTTTGGTCTGCCGCGGTTTCCGTAGCGTCGTGAACGCGCTTTTAGGAAATCCTATACACTACTGTTTATGCTCTAAAACATTCTAAATGACTTTGTTTCGAGTAAATTCTGGACGCTACCCACTCAGGACACTTGGAATACATTGGACGAGCAGTATGGAGGAATATTGACACGTTTTTTGTGGACTTTTATGAACCTTTCTGCCTCGGGCGCCATAGACCTCCATTATTTGAATGTCAGCAGACAGCAAGAAGCCTCCCAGATCTCCGGATGCATTTGAGATATCAAAAAAGTACTCCAGAGTGTTGTTCAGCATGGGGGTGAGTAGAAAATGAAGGCTAATCATGTTTTGGGTGTACTATTCCTTTAAACTAAGTGCATTTGTTCTTGAATTGAGGAGGTAAAAGAGACATTTTGCCAATAGAACAAGACAACTTACACTTAAAATAAGAAAACACTTTGCATTGTCTTATTTCAAGTGTATATTATCTACTTATCTTATTTTAAGAGTAAAAATACTCATTCCATTGGCAAACTTTCTCATTTACCTCCTCAAATTAAGGGTGAATACACTTAATTAAGGAAATTTTTACTTATTTCTAGATCGTTTTTGCAGTGTGGGATGTTTTCCTACTGGGAGGCCAGTCTGGTAAAAGAAACCTTCTCCAAAGAGCTTTGAAGCTTTAAATAAGGGGATTTTTTTCTAACATTTATATAACCTGAAGCACGACACTAAAGTAGCCAAAGAAGCAGCTTCAGGAGCCACAAAAAAGAAAAAAAAAAGGCCGCCCACGATATAACGATATACTAAATCCAAACTGGAAAAAATCGACATCGAAATAAGTCATTTTTTCTTAAAATAAGTGCATTTGTTCTTGGATTGAGGAGGTAAAAGAGACATTTTACTAATGGAATAAGACAATTTACTCTTAAAATAAGAAAACACAAATGCATTGTTTGATTTCAAGTGCATATTATCTATTTATCATATTTTAAGAGTAAAAATACTAAACCCATTGGCAAACTATCTCATTTACCTGCTCAAAATAAGGGTAAATAAACTTAATTTTAGAAATATTTACTTATTTCTAGATCGTTTTAGAAACCTGCTCCTCTTCTGTCTCTCAGGTATCGGAACCGTCCCCGTCGGCCGTGTTGAGACCGGCGTCCTGAAGCCCGGCATGGTCGTCACCTTCGCTCCCCCTAACCTGACCACTGAGGTGAAGTCCGTGGAAATGCACCACGAGTCTCTGCCCGAAGCTCTGCCCGGCGACAACGTCGGCTTCAACATCAAGAACGTCTCGGTGAAGGAAATCCGTCGTGGGAACGTCGCTGGCGACAGCAAGAACGACCCGCCTCTGGCTGCAGAGAACTTCACCGCTCAGGTGAGCAGCGGATCCTTCCTGGTTTGGGTCTGTTTCATTGGTGCTCCTCAAACACCAAGCAGAATCTTTTTAGATTCACCTTTTTTTTTTGCCATTCTTTTAATCCATTTATCACATTATAAAATGTGTCCTTTAGGGTTTTACTTTAGTTTATATGTCTGTCAGTTTAACTCAGGGTTACACTGCAAAAACAATCTAGAAATAGGTAAAGATTTCTTAAAGTTAGGGATGCACGATATTGGGATTTTGGCCGATATCCGATATGCCGATATTTTAAAACTCATGTAGCCGATAACCGATATCGATACTGATGTTAAAGCTGGACAAAAATAAGTAGTCATTGAAAATAGCAGTTTTGTTATCCATTTCTGACACTTTGAAAAATAATATACTCAAATATATTTTCATATGCTGATATCAAATAGATTTTTAAAAACGCGGTATCGATCTATTTTACTTTCAAAATCTCGTGAAATTTCATCGTTCTGTTACAAACTCTCGTGATATTTTGCAAATTCTTGTGAGATTTTGTTAGTAAAATAGATCGATACCGCGTCAATATATCAACATATAAAAATATGGCAACATTTGGTGAATTTTCGGGGGATTTCGTAGCATAACGATGACATATAGCAATATTTCATTAGTAAAAGAAATTGATATGGTGTTTTTAAATGGCAATATATCAGCATATGAAGATATTGGGATATTTTAATGGATCAATACTTTTTCCCTCATCTTTAGAAGTTTTTAAGTCTGTAAAAAAGAAGTTTCTGAGGAAGAAGAAGAAGTAGTATTATCAAATATCGGGTTAAATATCGGTGGGGTGGCCGATGTCCGATATTCAGTTTTAAGGCCGATACCGATAGGGGGGCGATTATATCGTGCATCCCTACTTAAATTAAGTGTATTTACTCTTATTTTGAGTAGGTAAGTAAGAGGATGTGCCAATTGAATGAGTATTTTTATTTTTAAAATAAGATAATTAGATAAAACTCACTTGAAATAAGACAATGCAATTGGTTTTTTTCTCATTTTAAATGTAAATTGTCTTATTCCAATGGCAAAATGTCTCTTTTACCTCCTCAATTCAAGAAAAAATACACTTATTTTAAGAAAGATTGACTTATTAAGATTTAAATTTTTTGCAGTGTAGTAACATTCCTGGTTAAAGAAAGCTAAAGATGAATGTCCTCTGTTCAGAAGAATTAACACTTTATGTTTATTTTTTCAAGTAGACAACTTTTGCTGAACACTGAATCCATCACGGATGTTTATTTTTCTCTTCTTAGCTTAATATTAGTTTCCCCATTTAAAGCTTCAGTGTTTGCAGCTTTACTTACGTCGGTTTGACCCGTCGGGCCTCTTGCTCCGCAGGTCATCATCCTGAACCACCCCGGCCAGATCGCCCAGGGTTACGCCCCCGTCCTGGACTGCCACACCGCTCACATCGCCTGCAAGTTCAGCGAGCTCAAGGAGAAGATCGACCGTCGTTCCGGCAAGAAGCTGGAGGACAACCCTAAGGCTCTGAAGTCCGGGGATGCCGCCATCATCACCATGGTGCCCGGGAAACCCATGTGTGTTGAGAGCTTCTCCCAGTATCCCCCACTGGGTGAGTTAAACCCCCTTCTACTCGTCAGACTTCTGTGATAATAATGTTATCAGCAAACTTCTGATGGTTAAACCCTTTGACCGTCTGCCCGCAGGCCGCTTTGCCGTCCGCGACATGAGGCAGACGGTGGCGGTCGGCGTCATCAAGAGCGTGGAGAAGAAGGCCCCCTCCGGCGGGAAGGTCACCAAGTCCGCACAGAAGGCTGAAAAGAAGAAATGAACCTTCATGCGAGACGTCCAGCAGAAAGCGGTGCCTCAGCAGCCGCCGGGTTCCCGTTCTCCTCCTCACCCTCCCCACCCGACGCCGTCTTCTCTGAGGCATGGATCTCTACTCAAGGACTGGTTTATGCTCATTAAAGCCCATCGCAAAAGTTTCCGCAGGAAAGGAGGCTTCTCCACCTACATGGAGAAGCTCCGGTGTTAGCTAAGATGAATAAAAATCACAAAGAATCAACATTTCTCCAGATTTTTGTTCCTTCTTCTTATAAATCTCTTAGTTTAGTGCTTTTATCTTTATGATATTTCTCTTTTTTACCTGTTTGAGTGCAAAAAAATCACCTGATATATCTAAGATATGTGGATTTACCCTCATTGGAGCTGTTAAATAAGATGATGTGCTAATAATAAGATTATTATTCCCCTTAAAATAAGATAATTAGACATTATGCACTTGGAATAAGATAATGAGGTCATTTCTCACTTTAGACATAAATAATATTGCTCCATTTGCAAATTAAGGGAAAATACACTTATTTTTGATCAAATAAGATTGACGTAAATTTCCCTTTTTGCAGTATTGAATCTACTAATAAATAAGTGTCAAAAGTATTAATGTTTATTACTCCAGTAGAAATCATACTGTTTAAAATCACTTTTGTAGAATTTAGGGGATCGCCTTAAGCTTTTTAATTCAATTCAGATAACTCACAGCCAGGCAATGGTTCAGAATTGCTGCAAAATAGTTTGTGCATTGTAACTTTGGTGTTTTGTAATTGTAGATTTTTTTTCAATCGCACACAATTACAAAAAAATATACACCTCTTCAAAATTTTGCGTAAAAGCACACAAATTGTGTTCAGTGAGTTGCACATTAAAAATGTCTCCAATTCAGTTCAGTTGATCTAAAACAAATGGTGCAAAAAAAATTCAAACATGTATATTAAAATCTTAAAAAAAAAGAAAAAAATATATGTATATGTATATATATATATATGTTGCTGGAGTACTTTAGATTAATGTGTCACATTTGCTGCAGGACATAAGAACTGGAGAATTGAATTATGTCTTAAACAGCCTTCCATATATTTACATAATACGTTACAGCCGGAGCAACAGGTTTCAGTTTTATGTTCCATGAAAGTTGAAAGTGAAACCATCCAGCCAATCAGCTCTGCTGTCGGTTCTAGCAGCTCTAGATCTAGCAGGTCGGATCCAGTTCTTTGTTCTGTTAAAGTCAGAAGTTTCATTCACAGCTGATCCTGGGTCAGGTAAGGGATGCTGAATTATTTTATTGCTTTCTGATTCATCTGAAAAATCTTTTACAGGAAAATGAGATGTATATGAGAAAGGAGGTTTGTCCCCTCTCGGTCGCCGTAGAAAAAGATCATTTTGCTACACTTGATCGTAGAGTGAGGAAAACATAAAAAACAAGTAAAGGGCGATTCCGCTTAATTGTTCCCTACCTTCTGCTTCTTAAATCTACTCTAATTAAAAAGCTACAATACCCAGACACATCAAACCAGCTCTGGGATTTGTGAAACTTTAATAAAACTGATTTTAAATTTTTTTTTAGTGTCTATGTCTATGTCCCGGACCAGCCCCCGGGCTGACGGCTCGGGGGCTGGTCCGGGAACCCCGGTGGACGGGCAGGGAGCCAGCTGTGGACAAAAGAACAGGCCAGAACCAAATAAGGCAACATCTCCAAGTTAACGTCAACTTGGTGCTTCGTTTGGATTTGCCTGTTTTATGGTGGAAGTTCAGAATTATGAGATTTGCAGAGAAAGGAGGTGTTGATGGGGTTGAACTTCTCTGTACATCCATTTCACCCACAGAACTATCGTCATTCATCTATGGCAATAGAAACTTGGTTTTGCATTCTATGACCCCTTTAATGTAAAAATGTTAAACCCTCTGGATATTTCTGCCCTTTAAAGCTCCTCCACCTTTCAGATATTTTGAGGAGCCAAATCAGGAGTTCAGAGACGTATTGCAGATACAGTCTCACCAGCATCTGAATACGCCTCTGTTTATTTTAGTGATTCCTGCTCCACTTTCCTGCTTCTCCTCCTCCTCTGATTGGCATTATCCTGTCCCTCTGCATCAACTCTGCAATAACTGACACTGGCTTTCTCAGCTACTAACAGCAGCAGTGATAAAAATGACAGAATCCAGTACCTGAACAAGAATAATGTAGAAAAGTAAAGCCTACACACAAACACAGTCACTTTTTCAACTTCTTTTTATTTTTATTGAGCTGTTAAAAATATTGAAATATTAATGTAAAAGCAGAACATAAAAACTGGATGTGTTTTATTCCATATGATCTATTTTACCTCTGAACAAGGAAATACTTCTTCAGCAGTAAAGAAATATGGGAGCTGAGTCAGCAGGGACTGACATTGTTAAAGCAGGTTAATGATTTATGTACATAATGTATAACATTGCTGACAGGCTGCCTTTAATGTTCTGTCTGCCTTGGATACAAAACAAAAACACATTACATGACAGGTCTGGACTGAATAATGTAGACCACCTTTGCTTTCATCATCCTGACGATGGTTCCTTTAAAAAAGAATGAGTGTTTTTTCTACCTGGTTGTCTCGATGCCTGTATGAGGTCTAGTCCTGGTGCTTGTGTGCATCGCATGCCTTCTTTGATTCCTGTGCTCACAATTACCTCACTAATTTCACCCCGACTCTGGCCAAGTCTTAGACTCCTGCCTGCCATGGTTTAACCACCATTCACCTTTTTAAGTCTGCCACCAGCCTGTTCAGTTTACCACCTGCCTGTTCAGCCTCCCGCCAGCCTGTTCAGTTTAGCCCCTGTCTGTTCAGCCTCCCACCAGACTGTTCAGTTTACCACCTGTCTGTCAGCCTGCCACCAGCCTGTTCAGTTTGCCACCTGTCTGTCAGCCTGCCACCAGCCTGTTCAGTTTACCACCTGTCTGTTCAGCCTCCCACCAGCCTGTTCAGTTTACCACCTGTCTGTCAGCCTGCCACCAGCCTGTTCAGTTTACCACCTGTCTGTCAGCCTGCCACCAGCCTGTTCAGTTTGCCACCCGTCTGTTCAGCCTGCCACCAGCATGTTCAGTTTACCACCTGTCTGTTCAGCCTGCCACCAGCCTGTTCAGTTTACCACCTGTCTATTCTTCCTTCCTTCCTTCCTTCCTTCCTTCCTTCCTTCCTTCCTTCCTTCCTTCCTTCCTTCCTTCCTTCCTTCCTTCCTTCCTTCCTTCCTTCCTTCCTTCCTTCCTTCCTTCCTTCCTTCCTTCCTTCCTTCCTTCCTTCCTTCCTTCCTTCCTCTTAAACATGTTTCTTTGATCTTTGTTGGCCATTTTTAATAAATGTAATGTTTTTTTCACCATGATGTTGGTGTCCTTTGCTCTACTGTTCTAATTTCCTTTGCCTACTTGCTTCACCTGTTTCAGCCCCCTTTGGGGCAGTGAAAGGTATATATTGATCCATCTTTTGTAAAGAAAATCCCTGAAATGAATCTTAATCCCAACAATTTTTAGAAAATAATAAATAAGTCATATCTGTCTAAAGGTAAAATACTTTTTGATTCTTTAGCAGATTTTTCTGCCTGAAGACAGAGACGTAGGAAGGATGGTCGACCGGCCTCTGAATCCCTCTCCTGTGAGACAAAAGCAAAGAGTTCAGCGTCAAATTTCAGGTAAAAACTGATGCTCATCTGCTGGGTGTGAAATCTTGGATCTGTGTTTTTCTGCGTTTCCTCACCACCTGCGCCTCCCTGTGGCAGAGAGCTCCATGGTGGCCGAAGAGTCTGTTCCCATCCCTCCTGATGTGGCCCACTTGATCAAACTCCGTGCCAAAGAGCTGAAGATCCGGCTGGAGGACCGCTGCTGGGCCGCCGAGGTGGTCAACGACTTCCGGGAAAACCTGCTGAGGTTCCTGAAAAGCAGCAGCGACCAGCCTCTGTTCCAGTCAGCGGAGTTCCTCACCACAGGAAGCTACTTCGAAAAAGTCAAGGTGAGGTCAGAGCCTGAAGGATTATCCTCAATCTGGATTATGGTGCTGCAGCATTGCAGAATCCTGGCTGACATGATCTAAACTGGGATCAAATATACATCGTTGAGGATTTTATGAGTTCATAAATGAATATCTATTTCAGAAATTTCAGTAAAAAATTTACATCCCTTTGTCCCCCCTGTCGGTGGTTGTGTATGTATGTATATATATATATATTCCCCGGTAAGAACTCTTTGTTTCTCCCCTCAGATCCACAGCCCAGATGAGTTCGACATGATGCTGAAGCTCCAGGTTCCCTGCCGCCTCAACACCACCAGGCTGGACGCCGGCCTGTTCTACCGGATAGATCTGGTTCGACCAACTCGCTCGCCCATCAAGGACTTCCTCCTGGACAACGACCTGACCTTGTCGTCCAGTAAAATCCTGACTGAGATGTTTCGGCTCGTCCGCAAGTTCCTGAAGACTTACAGAGGTCCCCTGCTCCCCCCTCACTCCCCCGCTGTCAGGGTCTGAGCTCCTCGGGTTTCTTTCTGGGAACTTTCTGCATGGAATCTGCACGTTATCCTCGTGCATGCCTTGGTTCTCTCCGGGTACTCCCACTTCCTCCCATAGTCCAAATACTCTACTGTCTGTTGTGAAATTGAAAACCTTTAAATCCAGTTTTGGAATGAGTGTGTATGCATGTCTGGGGGTTGAGCCCAACCCCCCCATCGGCTAAATGACAGCCCCATGAAGAAGCTTGTTTTTAGGTCAGTTTCTGTTTCCTGCACAGTTCCTGATGCTCGCTGCCGCTGGGAGGTGAACAAGAAGAAGCCCAACTCTCCGGCCGTCACTCTGTCTCTGTGCAGGAGGGAGTTAAAAGGGGAGGAGCTTATTTCTGTGGATGTGGTTCCTGCTTTGGAGGTAATCAGTAATCGATAAACCTGCCTGTGATGCGTGACGGCTGCTAAAGCTAACGTCATAGAGCTGCGTGAAATCAGCCATTAGTCAGCGGCCTCGAGTGTTTTTACATATTTTATCTCTACTGAACCAAAAATTTAATGTGTTTTATTTGGACTTTACAGGTTTGATTGACTCAAACTAGTGCTTCTTAAAAATGATTCCTAGTTGGACAATTTTTTTTTTAAATGTTTTTTTTTTTTACTTTTATTTTTATAAATCCAAATAACACTTTCAGAAAAGCAAAAACTTACAATTAAACATATGCTATCCATAACAGTTTTCTTTCAGAAAAAGAAACATAAAACATAAAAGAATAAGAAAGAAAATTTAAATGAAATTAAAAAACAAAACACAGGGGTTTAACTAAAGTATATTGCTATCAAGTCTGAAAACTTTAAGGCTTTGTTGTTCTGCAGTAACTTAATCGAGGCATGAAAACTTTTAATATCATTTTGGAACGCTTGAAAATTACACTCCCCGGCCACTTTATTAGGTACCCCATGCTAGTAACAGGTTGGACCCCCTTTTGCCTTCAGAACTGCCTCAATTCTTGGTGGCATAGATTCAACAAGGTGCTGGAAGCATTCCTCAGGGAGTTTGGTCCATATTGACATGATGGCATCACACAGTTGCCGCAGATTTGTCGGCTGCACATCCATGATACGAATCTCCCGTTCCACCACATCCCAAAGATGCTCTATTGGATTGAGATCTGGTGACTGTGGAGGCCATTTGAGTACAGTGAACTCATTGTCATGTTCAAGAAACCAGTCTGAGATGATTCCAGCTTTATGACATGGCGCATTATCCTGCTGAAAGTAGCCATCAGAAGTTGGGTACATTGTGGTCATAAAGGGATGGACATGGTCAGCAACAATACTCAGGTAGGCTGTGGCGTTGCAACGATGCTCAATTGGCACCAAGGGGCCCAAAGAGTGCCAAGAAAATATTCCCCACACCATGACACCACCACCACCAGCCTGAACCGTTGATACAAGGCAGGATGGATCCATGCTTTCATGTTGTAGACGCCAAATTCTGACCCTACCATCCGAATGTCGCAGCAGAAATCGAGACTCATCAGACCAGGCAACGTTTTTCCAATCTTCTATTGTCTAATTTCGATGAGCTTGTGCAAATTGTAGCCTCAGTTTCCTGTTCTTAGCTGAAAGGAGTGGCACCCGGTATGGTCTTCTGCTGCTGTAGCCCATCTGCCCCAAAGTTCCACGTACTGTGCGTTCAGAGATGCTCTTCTGCCCACCTTGGTTGTAACGGGTGGTTATTTGAGTCACTGTTGCCCTTCTATCAGCTCCAACCAGTCTGGCCATTCTCCTCTGACCTCTGGCATCAACAAGGCATTTCCGCCCACAGTACTGCCGCTCACTGGATGTTTTTTCTTTTTCGGACCATTCTCTGTAAACCCTAGAGATGGTTGTGCGTGAAAATCCCAGTAGATCAGCAGTTTCTGAAATACTCAGACCAGCCCTTCTGGCACCAACAATCATGCCACGTTCAAAGTCACTCAAAACACCTTTCTTCCCCATACTGATGCTCGGTCTTAACTGCAGGAGATTGTCTTGACCATGTCTACATGCCTAAATGCACTGAGTTGCCGCCATGTGATTGGCTGCTTAGAAATTAAGTGTTAACGAGCAGTTGGACCTAATAAAGTGGCCGGTGAGTGTATTTTCCCATAATGAAAATAATATTACATAAAAATTCTACATTTTTATCATGAAAAGTAATGCCAAATTTAACTCCTTTATATTCAAAATTAGGAATCACATTTTTCGTTGATAACCAATCATAAATCTTGTCCCAAAAAAGACTTAGCCACACAACAATTGTAAAAAAAGATGTTCTTGTGTTTCTAGATCTTTCTGACAAAAGTTACATACATTAACATCAAATTTAAATCTTAAACTTAAGAACTCTGCACAGGGATATATATTATTTATAGTTTTAAAATGAACTTCTTTCATCTTTGGTAATATAGGAAATGAGAAAAATGTGGTTCTAACCTTAAGAACTTCCATCTCTGAAAACGTGTTTAAAGATAAGCCGTGTTAGGCACGTTACTTTCAAAAAGTAATTAATTATAGTTACTAGTTACTTCTCCTCAAAAGTAACTGAGTTAGTAACTGAGTTACTCAACAATAAAAGTAACTAGTTAGTAGTAAAAGTAACTATTGGGCTACTGCGAGTGTATGAAATTAATAACTGGGGATGTCTAATTCTGAAATCCTGTGTTTGGGTTGTTATAGATACTGCAACATCTATCTATATCTATCTATTCCATCCATCCATCCATCCATCCATCCATCCATCCATCCATCCATCCATATAGGCTAACATTTGATCGTTCACGCTCTCCGTAGTTCTTCTGTGGTGCGAGCACAGGGCGGCTGTTACGCGCCTTTAGCGAGCATGCGCGTTTCCTGTCGCTTGCGCGGTCAATTGTGCCGCCGCGCTGTGCGGAGATGCAGGGGAAACCGTATCTGATGGGGAAACGCAGCTCGACGTAACACCAGTATTTCCATCTAGAAAGCGCTGTTTTGCTGCTGGAGTCCTCCTCACTCTCCATCCTCCCCTCTCTCATGACGCGCGCACGAGTCCTATCATGAAAAAAGGTTCATTGTGCGACCTGAGTAACGTGCAGTAACGGGGTGTCTGCAATTGTAACTGTGTTATAGTTACAGTAAGAGTAATAATTTTGATAACTCGTTACTAAAAAAAGGTAGCGGTGTTAGTAACGCCGTTACTTTCAACGCCGTTACTTCCATCACTGAAAATAAGTTCCATTTTCCTAGTTGGACAAATAATTTTAAAGCTTCGAGATTGAGCTCTGTTTTCTCCGATCCTGCTTAAAGGAGAAGTTCGGTCAGAAAGGAATAATCGATGGATCATTATTTATACCTAAAACTATACAGAGAACTAAATAGTTTGCGGTGATTTAAGGAATTAATCAGTTAAAAAATAATTTTCATTGCGATCTCTGAGTCTGGGGGCGGCCATTTTTTCCCAAATATAGTAGCCCCTCCCTCCTGCCATCTTCCAGCAGTGATGTCACGGTGCGGTAAGCCTAGCGCCATTCTCCCCGCTTTACAAGCTAAATCAATGGGAACTACTAGACACATCTGCAATCAACAACAATTATTGAAGATTTCCAGAGGACTTCACCATTGAAATTCACCAGAGCTATAGTGAAACTGACAATGCCCACGTGCATGGCAGCTGGATGCTGGAATACATCGGGTAAAAGTGGAAAAAAAGAGTTATTCCACCTTTCTGATTCCTGATCCTCCACGGACGGGTTGGTCGTTGGATCGCCAACTTGAAGAGGGAGGATTTGCCATCAAACTTCTGGCCAGAGAAAAAACCCGTAATATGTAGCCAACATTTGGAAGAAGAATGTTTTCAAGATGACTTGGATAATAGCGCGTTGTGACAAACACCAGATACAGCACTGGGACTTGATCAACAGCCGATACCGCACCGTGACGTCACAAACCAGTAGGTGGCAGTAGTGTTCTTTGACAAACATGGATGCCTCCAGTAAAGCACATTCACATGAAAATTACTCTGAATTAAAAACACTGATCATCTATTGAACAGGATGGAATCATTTCAGATTTAAAGAACTTTCAGAAATTTGTATTCTGAATGTGACCGGACTTTTCCTTTAAGAATCTATCTTCTTTTGAAAGCTAGTGAATAAGTAAAGATTTTAAATGCAGATGTTTTTTTATCTGGCCTCATATGGAGCCATTAAAACCAAATACTGCGATGTTTTATATTTGAAGCAGTTAAAGCGGCTTTCCGTAGTAAGGCTTCATAATAACTTCCAAATGCTCTATAAAGTAAATCTTTTCCTGATCTGATGTGGCTTAAATGTTGGTTGTTGTTTTGTCTGGAGGTTCAGAGCTGGCCACCTGCCGTGCGAAATGGACCTGATGTGGACAAATGGCTGGGAAAGAAGCTTCGCCAGGAAATCAGGGGTTTGCCTTGTTACTTCGTACCCAAGAAACAGAAAGGAAGAAACCTGAGTGAAGACGCCAAAGGTGAGAGGAGACCGTTTCCAGTCCATCTCTGTCTGTCCCACTCCGAAAAAATGAAATCTCAAGTAGTCTTTTTTTTTTTTTTCAAATAAGACAATTTTTTCTTGAATTGAAGCGGTAAGTGAAACACTTTGCCAATAGAACAAGACAATTTACATTTAAAATAAGAAAAAAGCAATTATATTGTCTTATTTCAAGCGCATATGATCTAATTATATTATTTTAAGAGTAAAAGTAAGGCAAGGCAAGGCAAATTTATTTGTATAGCGCAATTCAGTACAAAGACAATGCAAAGTGCTTTACATGATTAAAATACAGGAAGATAAAACAGAATCAAAGCAAGTAGGAAAAAAAAATAATAAAAACAAATAAATAAAATAAATAAAAAATGCAGAAACAAAAAAAAAATTAAAAATTCTATTGGCAACTCATCTTACTTACCTACTTGTATTAAGGTGGGAATGCTCTTTTTACGATTGGTTTGCAGTGAAGATATGGGGAACATTTGATTTTTGATGATTATGGCTCACAGAAAAATTTAGTGTCGAAGGAAATCAGAATATTAGAGAAAAATAAAAAGGATATTCTGAACAGAAAAGTCATCTTTCTGCAGAGTTGGTTCTATGAACTCCATGTTTAGATACTTTGGATAAATGACTGCATCAGTCCGGTTCTGTTCTTCCTTGGTTCAAATCCGACTCTTGTAGCCCGTCTGTCTGCAGGTAGTAGATGCTCTGACTCCAGCCTCAGTCCAAATGTTGAACTGATTTTACCTGCTGCTGTTCTCTTCATCGCTGCTTTATTTCGAACATGCAAGAGAAAAACAATAAAACAATGTTTAAAAACATTGGAGGGAAAAACAACAAACAAGATCTGTTGATCATCTTCTTCAGAGAGCTGGAGGATTTCGTTTTCTCACATTGAGAAGAAAATCATCATGTCTCATGGCAACAAGAAAACCTGCTGCGAGAGCAAAGGCGCCAAATGCTGCCGGTGAGTTTATGTTGGATTTTTAAATCTCTGTTTCTAAATAACAAGAGTTTTCACTTCTCTACATTATTATTATTATGACTATTATTATCTCCTTTTCACACTAAACTTTTTTAATTTTTTTTCTTTTGGGGAGGGGGGTTAACATACAAGACATACAAACTGAACATTTTCAAAGGTGAAATCCAGTCAGCCAGGAATAATCAAGGGATCAACTATACCTAAAACTAACACGTTTGCAGTGATTTAATGAATTTAGCATTAATCAGTAAAAAAATTTTAAATAATAAATTTTGGGAGCGGCAATTTTTCCCCATAACTTAGTAGCCCCTCCCTCCTGCCATCTTCCACACTGCAAAAACGATCTAGAAATAAGTAAAAATGTCTTAAATTAAGTGTATTCACTGTTAATTTGAGCAGGTAAATGAGATAGTTTGCCAATGAAATTAGTAATTTTACTCTTAAAATAAGATAATTAGATAATATGCACTTAAAAAAAGTAAATGCAATTGTGTTTTCTTATTTTAAGTGTGAATTGTCTTGTTCCACTGGCAAAATGTTTCTTTTACCTCCTCAGTTCAGGAACAAATGCACTTATTTTATTTGGGGCGACAGTGGCGTTGGATGTAGGCATTTGCCCTGTAATCGAAGGGTTGACGGTTCAAGCCCCGACTCCGACTTTCATTGTCGTTGTGTCCTTGGGCAAGACACTTCACCTGCATTGTCTACTGATGGTGGTCAGAGGGCCCGGTGGCGCCATTGTACGGCAGCCTCGCTTCTGTCAGTGAGCCCCAGGGCAGCTGTGGCTACAATGTAGCTTGCCACCGTGTGTGTGTGTGTGTGAATGGGTGAATGAATGTAGTGTAAAGCGCTTTGGTCAGGTCTCCTAACTTGAATAAAGGCGCTATATAAGTACATACCATTTAAAATAAGGATAAATACACTTAATTTAAGAAATTTTTACTTATTTCTAGATCGTTTTCGCAGTAATGCCAGATACACCATCTGGACTTTTTATTTCACCTTTTTCCATCTCCACCGGCCCCCTTTGCTTAAAATCATGTGGCTCATTTGAACCTGTCTGAAATATTCCTGCTCACTTGTGTTGCAGAAAGCCGTGCCTGATGCTGCTGAAATCTCTGATTGAGGCTCTGAAACAACGTTTCCCCAAAGATCTGCAGGATCTCTGCTCGTACCACGGGAAGACGGCCTTCCTGCACACTCTGTCTGCCAGGTGATGCTCAGCGCCTCCTTTTAGATCAACAGGTTGTGGCCGATGCAATGCCTCACAGTATTCGCTGAGCTTTTATGCATTTTACTGTTTTTACCACCAATTTTCTGATGAATCAATCAGAAAAACATGCTAATGAGCAGTTACAGCTGCGGCTCTTTGACGGTAGCCTCCATCCTGATCTCGCGAGCTTTCAAGGTTTCACTCGCAGATCAGTCTGGAGACTCTCCGTTAAAGAAAATTTGGAGCCGTTCACCAAACGAACGTCCAATCAGCGTTGGCTTTGAGGCGGGTTGAGGTGTGACGCAACGAGAAGCGCAACAGTTCAGTCTAAAGAACATGGCGGCTTCAGCCGATGAAACTAGCGTTAGCGTGGCTATCGAGCAAGTTTTATCGGAATTACAGAGTATTTCTTCACTGAAAGAAGAGCAAAACACGGCTCTGGAGGCTTTTCTCAGAGGAAAAGATGTTTTTGCTCTTCTCCCGACTGGTTTCGGCAAGAGTTTGATCTATCAACTGGCTCCTCTTCGTCGTCGCTCTGTTAGTACGTCATATGCTTCGTTGATCTGATTGGTTTATTTGGCCCGTCTATCACCAACATAGGCCAATCAGCTAACCAGTATTTTCGCCCCTTCCCAAAATTACTTCAACGGAAGGTTTCCAGATGGATATGCGGAGCAAATCCATCTGGGGGGGTCAGGTTACTTTGACGGTTCATCTCTAACAGCTTTAATCATCTACAGGCAAAGGCAAGGCAAGGCAAATGTATTTGTATAGCACTATTCAGTACAAAGACAATGCAAAGTGCTTTACATGATTAAAATATAGGAAAATAAAACAGAATCAAAGCAAGTAGGACAAAATAAAAAATAAAAATGCAGAAACAAAAAAGAACATTAAAAACAGTTCAGAATCAGAATCAAGTTTATTGCCAAGTAGGTTTGCACTTACAAGGAATTTGACCTGGTGTTGTCTTGGTGTTGTTGGTGCAAAAAAACAAAAAAACTAAACAAAATAACAAAATAAGATAGAATATATATGAATATATATATATATATATATATATATATATATATATATATATATATATATATATATATATATATATATATATAACGCAGAAATCCTGAATGGGGGAGAGAAACATTGTCCAGTGTCAGGGGCGGGTCTTGGCCTTGTTGATAAGGCCGATAGCAGATGGGAAAAAACTGTTTTTGTGACGGGAGGTTGGACTAAAGAAAATAAGAAATTTGAGCTAATGATGTTTCAGTTGAACTGTTTAACTAGAACAGTGGAAGGCAATCCTAAACAAATGTGTTTCTAGTCTTGATTTAAAGGAACTCAGGCTTTCTGCACTTTTACAGTTTTCTGGAAGTTTGTTCCAGATAAGTGGAGCATAGGAACTAAATGCTGCTTCTCCATGTTTAGTTCTGGTTCTAGGTCTGCAGAGCAGGCTGGAGCCAGAAGACCTGAGTGGTCTGGAGGGTTGATACACTGATAGCAAGTCTGTGATGTATTTAGGTGCTAAGCCATTCAGAGATTTATAAACTAACAGAAGTATTTTAAAGTCTATTCTCTGAGATACAGGGAGCCAGTGTAAGGACTTTAGAACTGGGGTGATGTGCTCTACTTTCTTAGTCTTAGTGAGGACACGGGCAGCAGCGTTCTGGATCACCCAGATCAAAGCAAACAATTTGATCTATCTCTCTTTGTAAACAGCTCAAGTTTAGCCAGACTGAATAAAGAATGTCTGATAATTTTTACAGTTTTTATTTATCGTTGAGGTCCTTATTAGCATAGCTAGGTTGTGGCTATTCTTCCTGGGATCCAGCATTGCTATTTGCTGTTACTTTGGTGAAGCAAAGTTTCGCATAGCAGCCCGTCTAGGGAGATAACTGCTTTTTATTCCTGATTAAGGATTTCTGGCCGCTTTGCTGTTATGATATTTTTCAGGAAATATATAAAATAATCTAACCTGAGCTGATGCCACTGATTTCCAGTGCAACTTAGGTGTAGACTTTGATTAGGCCACTGTTAGGTTTATTCAATGATGATTATAAAATGCTCCACTCCTGTCTCATGATTCAGTCAGGAGACCATCCTGCCTTGTCATTCTGATGGAGCATACTGTCTTCATGAACTGATCAATTGTTCTGTCAGAACAATACTCTGTTTGTAACCATGCGTCATGTTCTGTTCATAAAATGCTCTGCGGAGGAGGTCCAGTGGGAGACAGTGTTTGAGTCTGGGGTTCAACTGTCTCTCCTTCCTGCAGGAATTGTATCCATTACTGTGTATTTCAGTTCTTCTTTTGCAAACCTACATTTATGAACCCGACAGCCACCATAACACATCATTGCATGTTTAGGGATGTAGTTTCCCCATTGGGGGTGTGTGTGGTCTAGTAGTTTTTTCTTTCCGGATTCTTCAGGATCATAATGCTGTTGGTTCAGTAATGTTCTGTCAGAAAGTTTGGATCCTAACGTAACATTATACTCAGACTGTTGAACAATTACCACAAGGTTGTTTTATGATTCGATGACGTTACACTCAGACTTGGGAGTTTTTACCTAAAGAGACGTACGGTGTTTTCTAATGATTCTACTTTTTATTTTTACTTTTTTCACCTGACATGAAGCTGCCGTTTGTGTCTGAGTTGAGCTGGATGCCGGTCTCTACTGAATATCCACAAAATTCATCATAAATATTAACCTGACTCCGCCAGATGGATTTGCTCCGCATATCCATCTGAAAACCTTCCGTTGAAGTAATTTTGGGAAGGGGCGAAAATACTGGTTAGCTGATTGGCCTATGTTGGTGATAGACGGGCCAAATAAACCAATCAGATCAACGAAGCATATGACGTACTAATAGAGCGACGACGAAGAGGAGCCAATTGATAGATCAAACTCTTGCCGAAACCAGTCGGGAGAAGAGCAAAAACATCTTTTCCTCTGAGAAAAGCCTCCAGAGCAGTGTTTTGCTCTTTTTTCAGTGAAGAAATACTCTGTAATTCCGATAAAACTTGCTCGATAGCCACGCTAACGCTAGTTTCATCGGCTGAAGCCGCCATGTTCTTTAGACTGAACTGTCGCGCTTCTTCTTGCGTCACACCTCAACCCGCCTCAAAGCCAACGCTGATTGGACGTTTGTTTGGTGAACGGCTCCAAATTTTCTTTAACGGAGAGTCTCCAGACTGATCTGCGAGTGAAACCTTGAAAGCTCGCGAGATCAGGATGGTCTCACGAGGCTACATAAATATGACCCTTTGATTGACTGCTAGGTGTGACCCATTCAACATGGACGCTCTGGCATCACATCTGCTGAACAGTGTGGGAACTTTTTACCCGAAGTAAATTCCGGAAAATAGGCTGATAGATTCATCGATTCTGAACTACTGAGGCGTCAGTCTGCTATGCCTTCCTAAGGGAAAATCCTGTCGATGTTGTCGGAGGCAGTTTCACTTGGGACCAATTAAGATAATTGATTTGCACAGTTTCTGAAAAACCTCTGGGATTGATTGCAAGGGTGATGACAGGTCTGATTTGTTTTATTAGTATTTTTTACTTTACTAAACTCCTTTGATTAACGGTACTTGCAGTAAGGCAACAACAGTTTCATAAAGTCCAAACAATAATGTTGCAAATTTGTCAAAATGTGGAAAAATTCAAAGGGTGTGAATCGTATTGAAAGTGTCTGGGAGGTACTATGTGAATGGAGGAGTGTTTGTGAAGCTCTTTGTCTCCTCATTCCTCCTGTTAGGTTTGATGATTCCTCCTGGGCTCCTCAGCAGCTTCCCGCCTGCTTGCTGCACCTGATCGAGGCTCTGCAGGACCACGCTCGCTATGGCTTGCTTCCTCACTTCTTCGTTCCCGAATGCAACCTCTTTGCTACGCCGCTGTTTCCTCGCAAAGCTCAGCTGTTCCTGGTCAACGCTCTGGAGGAGCAGAAGAAGGAAGGTCTGCAGCTGCTGAAGCATCCAGCTCCTCTTCCTCCACTGAAACCAACAACTGTCAGAGCAGAAATAGAGGAACTGATTGGAACATCTGGAACATCCCACCCTTTGGTTTCCTCTGAAGGTCTGAGGCTCTTCATGCTGTTTGCTGTAGCTGTTTTCTTCAGCTTTATCTTCTTCACTAGACTTGGATGAATTAAGATAAATTATTTATCCTGATTCAGCACAAGAAGACACTTCCTTTAGATTTTAATTTCATTTATTCATTTAAAGTTTTCTCTGTTTATTTTTGTTTTTTTTGCGAGTTAAATAATAAGTAATATAAGCTGATTATGAACATTTTTAACCTCAGAGTTCCTGTTGGAGAAAGGAAACTAATTGGAGTGATCATGCTAGTCAAGTTATTTCTGCTCAATGTTTTTATCTTTGTGAATGAAATATGTTATTAAAAACTGCTTAAAAGATTTAAAACATGTTTGAATTCAGAACTTTTTGTCTTTTTTACAAACCCAAATGAGCCTCTGTTTGAAATAAGAAATGTGACAATGTTCTAATGAATAATGAAACAATCAGGTTTTATTTCTATTTCCAGTCTGAAGCAAATTCCTTTTGTTTGAAATATGTTTATCTTTATCTTCCTGTATATTTTATCTCACCTTGCCCCTGATTTAAAGTCCTATAGGTTATACAACTGAGAAGAAAAAGCAGATTCAGAAGTTAAGAGAAAAAGATATGTTCTAAAATAAGGAAAAGGTTTATTTTCAGCTGGATTGTCATCTGAGAAGTTTTCATGGATCACCAAACTGTTCTTAAGGTTGTTGAAAGATGTTTTCTTGCAGGATGTTTGATCTGCCTGGTTGTGTTTTGGGCAAACCCAATTCAATTCAATTCAGTTTATTTCTATAGCGCAAATTCACAACACGTCATCTCAAGGTCAAGTTGATAAAAGTTTCCTTTCTAAGGAAAACCAGTTGATTGCATCGACTCATTGACTCTTCAGCAATCCCTCACACTAAGCATGCTTGTAGCGACAGTGGAGAGGAAAAACTCCATTTTAACAGGAAGAAACCTCCTGCAGAACCAGGCTCAGTGTGAGCAGCCATCTGCTGAGGCCGACTGGGGTTCAAGGAGACAGAAGTAGACAAAGAAAAAGAAGCATAGATACAAAAGGCAACTGTAAAAGTCGGCCCTGTCCAGGCAACAGCCAGGCAGACGAGCTCCGAGCCAGCTCCCATGTCAGAGGATGAAGAGAGCACATCCAGTTAGTCACAGTTAGAGAAACAGGACCACACTGAAAAACAGGCCAAGCTCCAACATCTAGAAACAAAGGTGTTGATGGCAGCAGCACAGCTGATATTTCTCTCCAGGATGGAGTCACAGCCAAACAGGAACAGACCAGATGAAGCTACTATGAGAAAAAGCAGAGAGAGCAGAACGTTAGAGATTGAACTAACAGATTCTGCAGAGTGGGAGAATAGAGATAGAATGAAGCAGAATGATGAAAAAGGGGTCCCTATGTCCTCCAGCAGTCTAAGCCTATAGCAGCATAACTATAGAGATAGCTCAGGATAACCTGAGCCACTCTAACTAGAAGCTTTATCAAAAAGGAAAGTTTTAAGCCTAATCTTAAAAGTAGACAGGGTGTCTGCCTCACGGACTAAAACTGCTAGTTGGTTCCACAGGAGAGGAGCCTGATAACTAAAGGATCTGCCTCCCATTCTACTTTTAGAAATTCTAGGAACCACTAGTAAACCTGCAGATTGAGAGCGAAGTGCTCTGTTAGGAACATAAGGAACAATCAGATCTCTGATATCAGATGGAGCTTGGCCATTTAAGGCTTTACCCACACACAGATGAGATAAAGAGACTTGACTGGCTGCACTGCATAAGACTCATTATATGTATCCGTGTTTCTTCTCAAGCAGCCTAAACAATCACATTTATCAGAGCAAATAACTCAGCATCCGTCTCCTGTCATCTTTCTCTGATAACCTCTGCAGAGTTTCACCCTTTTTTTTTTTTTTTTTATGTGATTTTTTTGCTTCCAGTCTTACCTCAATGACCCTGATCTGAAAATGCAATAATCTCAGCTTGTTATGGTTCTCCCCTTTTGGGACTTTGAGTTTTAACAGTTATTCTGTGTTTTTTATTTATTTTTATTTTATGTATGTTTAAAGGAATAGTACACCCAAAACATGATTAGCCTTCATTTTCTACTCACCCCCATGCTGAACAACACTCTGGATTACTTTTTTGATATCTCAAATGCATCTGGAGATCTGGGAGGCTTCTTGCTGTCTGCTGACATTCAAATAATGGAGGTCTATGACGCCCGAGACAGAAAGGTCCATAAAAGTCCACAAAAAACGTGTCAATATTCCTCCATACTGCTCGTCCAATGTATTTCAAGTGTCCTGAGTGGGTAGCATCCAGAATTTACTTGAAACGAAGTCATTTAGAATGGTTTTAGAGCATAAACAGTAGTGTATAGGATTTCCTGAAAGCGCGCACCTGCGCGTTCACGACGCTACGGAAGCCGGCAGACCAAACCAGATGAAAGTGCGCATTCAGCGTCTGCTCTGCCGATAATGCAAGCGTAGAAGAAGAAACGTGCTGTTTACCTGTGCAAAGAAAGAAACAACGAAAGAAAAATGTCTGAGGACTTCAGTGTTGAGGAAGAGCATGAGTTCTTTGCCGAGCTGAATGCGCACTTTCATCTGGTTTGGTCTGCAGCGGTTTCCGTAGACTCGTGAACGCGCTTTCAGGAGGAATGGAGGAATATTGACACGTTTTTTGTGGACTTTTATGGACCTTTCTGCCTCGGGCGCCATAGACCTCCATTATTTGAATGTCAGCAGACAGCAAGAAGCCTCCCAGATCTCCAGATGCATTTGAGATATCAAAAAAGTACTCCAGAGTGTTGTTCAGCATGGGGGTGAGTAGAAAATGAAGGCTAATCATGTTTTGGTTGTACTATTCCTTTAAGCAGTCTTTGGTTGCTCTCTGTCGCCCTCTTGTGTCTGTCTCCTTTCTCCTAGCTCCCTTCTGGTCTCTCCCATCCACAGCTGCTCCATATCTGCTAATCAGCCTGGTCTTTGTTCAGTCTCCTATTTATACACCTCATGTTCAGTCACTGTTTGCTGTTTCCTTGTTGATTGTTAGTTGCTTCCTCATCTCTGGCTCCCCATGTGAGTTTTCCCTGATGTTTTTTCTCTCTCAGTATTTTTGTGTTTTTGGATGTTTGCCTCAGTTTTTCATTAAATCTATAAGAACTTATCTCTGCTTCACTCATCTTTGCTTTTGGGTCCTCAAGTAACCTCACCCCCCCCTCATTGACACAGCTGGGCTTTCCTGGATGTTTTTATTTTTTTATGTCATCTATTTGAGAGAAAAGGAGGAACAGTGTGCTGTATATTAAAGAACAGTTACACAAATATAAATGTAGCATATTGGACTAATTTCCATCTTTTCTTCAGCATTTCTAATATTTTTATACAAGTAGATGGAAGAGAACAAGTCTACTCATAAGCATGTGGAAAAACAAATACAGTAGAAAAAAAAATAAAGTAAAGATGATAGTAATCCAACCAACGGACCAATCAACATCCCTTACAAATGTTCTAACAAAGTGACCTTAGATCAGGGCTTCGTTTCACATACCTCGACATATCAGACAAATACCATTTTGGACTAACAAAGTGGAAGCCAAAATGTATAAAGGCTTTTTTAAATGAAATAATCTAACAAAAAAAAATAATAAAAAAAATCCCTTTAATCCTCTTTGAAACTCCACATAGTGTCACTTTCTTCCATGAAGATGGAAGAATGAGCCAGAAGCAGATGGTATCTCCATGGTTGCAGTCAAAGCGTGGAACGCCCAGCTCCTAAATATGAAGAACTGTTCATCAATTAAATAATCACTCGTGTAAACAACGTACAATGTGAAGTTATGAAACAATGTTTGAAAAAAAAAGACATGAAATGAAAAACACCGATTAGTTTCCAAAAAACAACACATTAAGGATCTTAGATTGTTTAAACCAACCTCTTCAAGGTAGATATTCAAAAATATACAGTTTAAGATTTAAAGGGAAGTCTTTAACAATCCTCTGACCAATCATAGTCAATACGGCCTTCAATAGTTGAGGACTCACCTACATACACTGAAATAAAATCTCCAATAAAGCTGCATTTATTGCATGTGTCCATAATAAAAGCTGAGATGATGTGACATACTAGTGATATATTGCATAGTTAGCCATCTATACAATAATGTCTGCTCTACAGTAAGTCAAGTTTGTATTGACAGTGTGGCTGTCAATCAAACTGCAAGCTTCTGCTTCTTGTCTGTCCCCGATTCTCCCAGATTTAATTTCTAAGTTTGTAGAATATTGATAGTTTCTTTACATCTGTCAGCATATATTGAGTAAAGCAGAGAAAATTGAAATCTACCCTTTAAGTGTATTAAGGTAAAACCTTCAATTGGAGACAGAAGGTAAATCAGGAATATACAGTTTATTTCTTCATTAACATTTAAATTCATCCTTTTTTTTTTAGCCTTGGCAAGAATTATTAGTTTTAAAATTTAACCATAAATGTTATGTATTTTGTTGGTGACTTTACTGCTCGCATTTTTTTTTTTTTTATACTTCTATTAGTAATAATAAAAATATTTTATACGTAATAAAGCTGTCATTATGTATGTCTTTAATTGTCTTAAAATAGAAACCAATAAATCATACAAAAAAGATGAAATTAGGATTAAATCATAACTTTTTTTCGCAAAGCCTAAAGCGGAACCCTAACGTCGCACTTTATTTCTTCCCCGGGATCAATTTGAGGCACACACTTCTCAATAAATACGCCGCACCGGAAACGTGTCGTCCTCTTCTAAGTGATCCAAGATGGCGGTGAGTGTAACGTCGCATTGAAGTCACATAAGTTATGGATTAAATCCGCAATCATCTGCGTTATAACGCATCTTTAACGTCTTTTTGATGTTCGGAGACATTGGTTGAAAGATGAACGCTTTATCTGCTGCGTTATTTGTTAGATAAGTGATATAAATATAGGCTAAATGAGTTAAAGTGATGCTAACAAGCTAGCCTACCCAAGATTATTTTTGAAATGACTGTGAATATGGGATACAACTCTCTGAAATGGCTAAAAAACATTACGGGATTTTATCGTAAGCGTTCTGTTAAGTCGGTGGTTCTAAGTTTATTAGGTTT